ACCTCATTGCCTCTTTGGGTTTTTTTTTCGTGCGGGGCAACACAAACACCCAACACACAGCGGCTGAGGGTGAGCTCACGAACACGGACACGGCTTCTAACTCCCACCGCACCCATCTTGTCCAATGAATGGAGAGACCTTAGATATAAAACAAACAAACAAACAAACAAACAAACAAACAAAAAAACGACAAGAACAAAGGATTCAACTACTTAAAAACAAACCAAAACGAAACAATAAAAATAATGGTGACAGTACAGGAGTGGGCGGGCAGAGAAGTGCACGATGGGATTGTCTTCACTTTAGGTCCAGGACATCTTCTTCAAACGATGTAGAGAGGGCAAACGCGCTGGCGAGAGGTGGGCTCTCCCCCCGCAGCACTGCCTTCTCTGGCTCGGCCTCCGAACTGGACGAACAATGCAGCTGGACGTCCAGGTCTGCGTCAAAAGAGTCTGATGCTAACCTGCTGTGCACAGAAAGGTAGAATTCAAGCTCAAATATCATACAACAAATTAAATGTGTAGCTGCTGCTGAATCTGTCACTGTCACCTGTCACTGTTTGTTGACGTCAGTGCTCGAGCTTTGGGCTCTTCCTCAGTGTTCTTCTTGCTCATCTTCCTCTGTTTGACTGTTCCACTGTCCGACTTCCCACTTGGTTCCTCTGTCAAGCCTTCATTGGTGTCACGTAACAGAAAATGGACACTACTTGAAGGATTATTACAACATTTGGGAAATGCAAAGCTACAGCCAGCTAGCTTGGTTTATGCCGGCTGCACACTAGAAGACATTTTGAGGCTGGTCTGAACAGATTATCTGGCCAAGAGTGAGGGGTTCACAGACATCAGCATAATCTCACTGTTTTTGTAACGTAAATGTCAATATTACAATTGGAAATCAGGGAGACTATGTAAGACGAGGACAGTGATTCGGCGAGTGAGCAGAAACCCATAATGGCCAAATTAGAGACTGGGAAGCCTAACCAGAAACATGGCTGCCTGCAGCGTAAATAAGAATTTTTTTTTGCAGGACAAGGTGGATGGCAAAAAAGGAGGACAAACTTGTGTAATTGTGTTTAATGTGTCCTGTTTTTAGTCCAAGACATTACACATACAAGCAAAACTAGCTGAGGACCCTGAGAGACGCCTCCAGATTGTTTCCCAGCTTCTATAGAATCAGAAAACACTTAAATACCACACGTGTAGTCCTGAGTCTTGACAGGATCATCTACTGTGCACATATTCACTATTTAAGTATAAAAAAATCTGTTATATCTTATGTCTGTGTTCTCCCACGTTTTGGAAATCCTCTCGTGTGCAGCAGGTATTCGTGAAAACACTGAAAACAGTTTGCACATTATAAAACTACAGAAGGTTTTCTTTGAGCTTGTTCAGCAGCAGTGACCTTCATGACTTTCCTCTGCTTCCTGGTCAAGGATTAGCACAGCATAACACGCTGATAAGTGACCTTTGGAAGTGCTGGCAGTTGGCTTCTGTTACCTTGTGAGCCAGTTGAGTCTGTTCAGACTCCTTATGCTGAGATATCCTAGCTGCTGGTTGTAGCCTTACATTTAGCATACTGACAATGGATTATATATGTATTGTAGAGTTATAATATAGTTTTTCAGTTTACCAAGCAGCTCCTTCCGTGTGCGGCTGGCTATCTCTTTGATTTCCATGCGTGACAGGGACAGTGAGTGTGTTGCAGAGATCAGGGGAGTCGGCGGCAACATAGCCGGAGCCGGCGCCGTCATAACCTTGTTGACCAGCGGGGACTTGAGGGGTCTTTCAATGCTCCGGCCGACCAAGTTACACAGAGGGATCTTGAACATGTGCTTGCATGCTGCTTCTCCTGAGAGTAAGAGACGGTTGGAAAAAGGAGAAAGCAGGGGAGGAGAGTCAGGAAAGTACAGACAAGGACAAAGCAGATCATGAGAAAAGACATGAAACCATATATATAAAGAGCAACGATGGGTGAGAAGAGGAATGTATGGCAGTGAATGAGAAATGCATGATGCAACTCCTTGAATGAAGCACCAAATTGTTTTTTTTCATGTTGTACCCCGTTGGCTACAAAAATGCATATGTGCATTTATAGCCTTCCATATTTTTAGAGACATAACACTGCTTAATAGTTTACCATTAGTGTATTTGATTTTTATTATTTTTGGTCATGGTAACGGTGTTAGGAGCAATGACAATTCTTCGATCAATTGTTTGACATTTTGGAAAATAAAGCCTAGTTGCATTCTTGCTCAGAGTTAGAGTAGATCGATACCAGTCTCATGCTTGTATGATAAAAATGGTGCTAGCTGGTGGTTAGCTTAGCTTAAAAGGAAAAAGTTAAAATCAGTAAGTGGATACCATCCTTTTAACGAGGCTAAGAACCCGCCACCTTATCATAGAGCATACTAGCACACAGACATGAGTGGTGGTATCAGTCCTCTCATCTAACGCTCAGCCACAAAGTGAATAAACTTATTGTCCAGTATGTCAAACAATTCCTCTCAGTGGTGCAATTAAGGACCCTGCGACATTCGGCTGATTAAAGCATTGCTCTCATATGCTGTATTGTCAGACTCGCAGAGACAACAGCAGGTGAACCTTCTGTCTGTGTCCAAAGCTAAATGTGGAGTGGTCTATTCAATAATTAAAAAAAGTCCTTAACCGCATCAACAGAGAAAGTTTCCAAAATAGACTCGTGATTGCAACAGCATAAGCTTACATGTGGTGTGATTATGGTGTGATTTGCATATGGTATATAGTGTGATGAACAGTCACTGTAATGTGTATAAAAAAAATTTGAATGGTTGATTAGATTATGAACTAAAATATGCAGAACGTCCTGAATCCAAAAGCTCTCTCACACTCACACACTCATATTGCATTTTAACAAGATTGGGAGGTGACAAACTGATGCAATACAAACTCCCTTATTCAAATAAAGACTAACGTGATTAATAGTCCTATTTACTGAAACAGCATGGGATCTTAAAGTTAATCAGCCGTAATATAACTGTTCACTTTTGGCCAGTTAGAGCAGACCATCTATTCTGCAGAGACGGTAAGTGCTTAAAGTCAGTTTGAAACAAATTAAATGGATATTTGGAGTTTGACAAAGGGGACACACTGCTAGCGATGCTGCAGTGTGCCAGCCTGCAGTGCCCAATTGTGCCATCCGGGAGCAGTATTGCAGTTTAGCAGCCGCAGACTGCTCCGCTGAGACAGGCTGGTAGCAACAACATGGATGAGACTGAGTCAATGTGGAGGCTTTACGCTGCACAAAGAGCACCGTCTCATCTGAAATGTCAGCGGGTGAAGAGGTGAATGAGGAGCCATGGAGGAAAATAGAGGGTCAGTGCTGTTGTTTGACAGGTACACTGTGTTAGTGTTGTTACAGATCCTGCCTCCTGCACCCGTGCCGGCAAAACATGGCAATAATTACAGCAAAATGCAGGAAAAGCATGCAGTTATTTGGAATATACAATCACAAGAGATCAATATATTCCACGTGTGTTTCTGGACCAGGGGAGGTGTCATGCTCCATCACACTGGCAAAAATAAAAATAAATCTGAATGTGGTGTTTTCAGCACTAAGTTGAATTCTCCTGGACAGCATGCTTTCGTTTCGCTCTCGGCTGTTTTGGTGAGCGTTTAAACCAGCGGAGGCAGGCGGCGTCTTGCAGCCACATCAGTAACAACATCTCGTTGACGTTACTGATGCGATTACATCAGATGAAACCCCCTCCCCGAGGAGCAGATACAGCAGGTGCACAGGCAGTGAGAGGATGGGGATTTTTGTCAGCACCCCTTCCAACCCCCCCTCTGCATCTTCTGCTACAACACCCACCCCACCTACCCTCACCCTCGGATTGTGGCACCGCTGTTTGGACAAGCACTTTGGATCGAAGCGAGGGCTGACAAAAGTCTCCATGGCGACAGTGCAATCTGTAAATCATGCTGCGGCAGACGTGTCTTCTTCTTCCCTCTTTCCCTTTTTTTCCCTCCCTTCTCCTCTCCCCACCTCCCGCTTGTACACAACCCCTCCCTTCCCCCCCTCACACTCATGCATACCTTTCCTGCATCTCATCCTCCTCTTATTCCGAACATCTCCCGTTATCTCCTGCGCCTCACTTTTCGTTTTTTAATTTTTTTAAACTTTCCCCTTTTTCGACCCTCTTATTCTCTAAGACACAAAGGGGTGGGAGGTGGGGAAGACATGATGTTCACTTAACATTCAACCAACGTTTAAGTCAACATGCTGCCTTGGAACAGACAGGGTGATATACTCTGCGAGCACGTGCATGTGAGTGGGGCAGCGTTATGAGCGTTTTCATGAGCTGAGGACGAGAATCCTGCAGTACCTTCGGCATCCTTAGACATGTACAGGGAAAGCTTGGTACCATAGGGGATCCGTATTGAATCTGAACCAGGGATGAAGAAGAGGGTTACACAAACACACACACACACACACAGTACATACAATTTAGGCGCACACAGTAGGTGATCGGGTCCCAGCGGTGCACAATCATATGCTGAAAACAGGAGAGAAAATGAGAATCCCTCAGAGAGAAATGATTGCCCAGACCAGCCTAAAAGCATAAAGCCCTTCCTCAGCTAATTGCAGCAGCGACAGCCAGACCTTCCCCCCTGTTAGCCTTAATGGGACCTGTAAATACCCACTCCCCCCCTCAGGAAAAGAGCACCTTGATTGTGCAGCAGCAGCAGCAGCAGCGAGACAACCAGGACATTTTAATAATTATTTCCTTAAAGCTTTGTCCTCCGCTGCAGCCGTCTGAATAACATGGTTGTGTTGGAGGAAGACGTGGTGTCCTTTTTGAAACAGCTACAGAGCCTAATGAAGCTGACTTTGCCATCGGCCATCGTTCTGGTGGCTCCCGCTGAATGACAGACCTGCAAGTCACTGACAACAGCTGTGCATCACAAATACAGTTTCAGATCTGAAGAGGTCAGTTGTGGGGGAGGGGGGGACCCCGTATGGTCAAATGTACAATAAAAGACAGGGATGTGGGCTTGAGGGTGGAAGGGAGGGGCTTGTATTGATCTTTAATCATCCTTGAAAGCATGCTCTGCCTCTAAGGTTATGTATTGTGTCCCTTGAATGGCGGTGGCAGTGGCGGGGGGGGGGGTCATTAGTCGTTTCCTCTTTCTGTAATTTGTGGTTAATAAGAATTTAAAAGATGATGCCTTTGCATGTTTCGACCGTCCAACTACAAATCACATTCACATTAGTGCCAATTATCTTCCAGATCCTAACAGTTCCAAGCTTTGTTTACTTTAAAATGTGTCATAAGACTTATGTCAGTGAGAAATGATGAGGAAATAGTAATTGGAGATATACAGTAAATGCAATTAAATATCACAAATAATTCTAATCAGGGAAAGTAATGTTAACTCTGGGGGGGTGTGGCTTTGACTAAAATGAACCATTCTGCTGAAATAAGTAAATGTAAATGGACCCCGAGCTCTGGGCGAACAGAATATCCAAAGTCAAACAGGACTGCAGGCAACTCTGACAACGTCAAAGCACTAATATAATCATCCTCTGCATCTGTTGCTTTGCAGCGCTTACCATCACCGAGCGGCGAGGGGAACACGGGCATCTCGTAGCCGGTGGGCGTCTGCGGGGAACTCTGGGAGCTGGTATCTCTTGAACTGCAGTTGGAGGCCGAGCTGACCGGAGCCGACGAAACAAAATAGATGTCTGACTGTGGGCGGAAAAACAGACGGACACAGAGAGAGAGGGAATGAGATCCTTCCAGGAAATATTAGCAGGACAGGGATGGAAATGATGCAGGAGGTGAAACATAAAAATAAAAATGAAATAACAAAGAGATTGGATGAGAGCAGAGAAAGAAGAAGTATTTATTTGATGTCAGGTGCACTGCGGTCTGTTTTAAATTATCTACCTGTATGAATTACAAGTGTATTATTGCTTTGTAGCCATGCATATCACCAGTCATATTTCCCACTGGGCTAATAAAGATTGATTGAAATGAGAGAGCTGAGACAGCTACTTCTAGAACGCAGAGTGGCCTGAAAACACTGAAAACACTCACAATCTGGAAGAGTGAACATAATGCTACTTCAATTATATGACCTCTGACCAGTGCTGCAGATAGAATTAAGAATAAAAATCAACAAAATACACAACCTAAAATGAACGTTTACGTGACAAATCTCGACCATACTGACCCGTGAAGCAGCCAACTGTAGCTCTGGAACCACTGCCGTGTACACAAGGTTTCCATTTACCACCAGTCGGATCTCGATGGAGTCCGTTGTGAAGGCCAGGATGTAAGGAAATGCACAAACTGCAAAGAGCACACACACTTATGTTGAAACAAGCAGCAAATAGACATTACAACCAATCACTGATCCCCTGTCTTCATAATTGCTTCTCTTTTTTTGTTTTAACTGATTCAAATTGACTATCTAAGATAATTTTTTTCTCAAATTACACAAACTTCACACAAGTGAGTTTACTCTGGGGGCAACAGCCAACATTTAGGGTTCAGGTACATTGGATATCAGGGCTGATTTCTTTTACCATACAAGTCTTTCCACACAAAATACCTTTTTAGGTGTTTGAAATCCATATGAATGCAGATCAATTAAAAAGCAGATAGCTAATGCATTTCAGTCAATGTGTTCCTTCTCTTTTGCTCTCCACATGGACTGTACCTGCAGGCAACCAAAGCCTGCTCCTACATTAATGCTGCATATTCACATATTATTATCTAGATCTTTATGACCGATGACGCCTCAGTTCCTGACTTTGTACAACAGATAACTGTCATAATTCAATTAAAATAGAAGCTACTGTGAATAAAGTTACGGATAGTTATATGTAGTCTGACTTTATATTTAGCAACTTCTTTAGCTTGTTTTAGCTTTTATCCATTGAAATTAATACATTACACATTTAATTAATTCAAATATCAATTAGAGCAGCTTTAAAAGTTGCTTTTAATCTGAGGATCTCCAATATTTTTCAGTATATGCTATTTGTTTTATTACTCAGCAAATGATGCGTCTGTGTGTGTTATTATTAGATGCAATGTAGCCTATAGAGCAGCAGCACGTTGTTTTCAAAAGGCTCAGGATTTCAGGTTTTGTATCAATTGTGTTTTCATTATTTCATCATTCATCTCATGCATTAATTAAACACAAGTACAAAAGCACAAGTACAAAAGCACACACACACAGTAATCTCACAAGCCAATTGGATGCGTGTGGCTACACATGGTGTTCCCATGGCAACAGCAAGCTCTGGTCAGGCCAGCAGCAGGGTGGGGTTCAATAGTTGTTGCCGTGGTAACCTACCGATAGCGTTGGGCATCTGGTTCCAGCTGAAGTGGAAGTCAGAGGTGTTGGACTGGATCATGGGTGTGGAGCCGTTAAACGGACAAACTTTTTTATAATAACAACTGTCTGTAAAACACAGATGGGAAACAAATTCAACTTTCAAATTCAATATTGTACTTTCTTCTGTTTACTATTGTTTCTATCTTCTGTACTTTGGAAAAGGATTGACAGCACCACTTTGTTGTTTATCCAGACTATAATTTATATATAATATAATATATTTCATAACAAGTCTCTGACCCTAAATATTCTAGAGCTACGGGTGATGTGATTTTTTTTTCCAGCTGCAGAGAAAAAAAATGAAGGTTCAGCTTTGACATCAAGAGACCTGAATCAAACAACAACTGAGCTGTACAGAGTTAAAGGGAGACTCACAGTTGTAACACAACAGCAGACCCGCCTCGCCGTCTTCATACACATCAATGGCTGCTACAAAATTTACCTGCAGGCAGAGAAGAGTCAGTTTAGTGGAATCATTTCAGCAGGATTCAAAGGTCGGATGTGAGACACTGTTTTTAACAAGTAATGTCAGGTCACATACGATTAAAGTAAAGGGTAACCTTCTAAGCAGGGGCGCTGCAACAGGGTTGGCAAAGCAGGCAACTGCGTGGGGCCCAGAGCTGAGAGGGGGCCCCTGAGAACGGCTTATGACCCCTTTAAATTCTGTGATCGGCCATCAACAGAAGACTGCAATGACACCACGCTCAGAAACGCCCTAACTGAAGACTGAAATATCACTTTCTGCCAAAAGCCTTTTCATTTTAGATGTTTGGTTTATATACTACTTTAATACTTTGCAATTATTTGTGTGTATGCACTGCTTTTATAATTTTCACACTAAAAGAAAGGGTAAAAAATCTGAATAATGATGTTTGGTGTAATGTGTTTCTTGGGTGTGGGAGTTGGTAAGGTTTGGTTTGAAGTACGGCCCACAGGTCCCATTTACCATTTAGGTAGCATTTAGGTCATATAAAATAAACAGGGATCAGCCACAGCATTAAAGCAAACGTGGCCTGTTTTCAAAAAGTTCATCATGATTTGATTTCAAACAAATTTTCTATTTCCAGTTATTTTCCATAGCCTCATGGCTTTGTTCAAACACTGCTCTGCCATAACATGAAAATCAGGTCAAATGTAACTGGAAGAACACAAACGTCTGTCAAAGCTGATTTGCCACATTATAACCATAATGATTATTGAGAGTAAAACACAAAAAGTTCTGAAAACTGCTCACATGCCTGATTTCTTTTCCATGAAGATTTTCGAGTTAGTTTCTTGAGAAAAAGTATCTAAAAGAATAAATCCTTGATCCGTCCCCTGATCTGGATCATACATCACATCCTTCCACCAACTTTCGTGGTAATCTGTCCAGTAGTTTTGGGTAATCCTGCTAACTAACTAACGAACAAATGCAGATGAAAACATAACATCCTTGGCTGAAATAATAATAACTGTTGTAACTGATCGGTGGACATTTCTGCTTGAGTTTGTTGTTTATTGTTGTTTCTGTCGAATGAGAAATGGTTATAGCAGAATAAGACTGTTTATTAGAGCAGCTGTTCATCCCCCGGCACCCTCATCCCTCACGTCTCCTCCCAGCTGCTCTCTGTAAATGACAACGTGTTGATTCACCAAAGCAGCCTGCTCATCAGAGAGGTAAATAAAGCGACTAACTGGGTCAACTGAAGGTCTCCATTCTGCTCAACTGCAGAGCACATCAACATGAAAGCAAATGGAGAAAAAGGACAAAAAGAAACCCACCAGCGTATTGTATGAGCGTGCAAGTGTGCCTCACCCTGTTGGCGTCTACGTGATGTAGCCGGTAGGCATCTCCAGTGCTCTCATTGATCAGGTCAAACTGGTGTTTGTAGGCCACGCAGATCATGTTGTCATTCTCCCCCGTCGGCCCGTCCACCAGAGCCATCACCACCGGAGGGTCACACAGACAGATCTCCTGATGGGTGGATGGTACAAGATAACCTCAGGGCTCACACACACATTAGTTTAATCACTTTAACAGACGTATGGATGTTTGTCTGTACATAATGTTTTCATAGCTTTAGGACAGCGGTCGAGATAATAATTCAATTGTTTTTCACTCCTGATATAAGAATATTATTTTTCTTTGTCTTGCCTCTATTGGGTAAACACGCAACCAACTCACATTACTTTAGGGGAAATCTAGGATTTCAAGAATGATGTAATATTACAAGAATATACTCAAAAGTCATGCTATTACAAATATAAAGAAAAAAAAAGTTTTCTTAGGAGATAAGCAACAAGGAGAACTTGGCCTCGCTCAGTATTTTGGAAACTTACTTTAACACAGGTGACAGGCTGATCTTCTGATATTCCCCCTCTAAAAAGACATGTTGCCTCAAATCCTGACTTTATTCTTGTAACATTATCTTAATATTAGGACTTTATGCTCATAATATTATTGTAATATTCAGAATTAAGTCTTGAAATCTCTGATATTTTTCCCCTGGTAGTGGTTCTAAAACTCACCGACAACGATCACCAGTTTAGTTTGATACTGAAGAAATGTCAATGTCAAGATTCTTAAATGTAAGAAACATACATTTTATTATATTTTCTGATTTCTAGGTGAATATGTTGGAAGTTTATCTGCTATGGACCCCGAATGTGCACTGATATCCTCAGAAAATGTAAGTCACGTAGAATCTAAATGTAACCTTTAGTGAGAAATTATCTTTAAAAGTGAGATGAAATTCATTCATTCCTTCTGTTCAATCTTTTCTCATTTATCGTTGGTTGTACCCGTATGTACTGGAACTCCTCCACCGGCGAGTCTGGCCCCGCGGAGACGGCGCTGAAGCCCTCGAAACGCAGATGTTTCCTGGTGATGAGGAGGAGTTTGTTCCTGATGGCTGCTACTATCCTCAGCTCGGAGCCGTGGTGGGTGTTGATAGAGTACAAATGACAGCCTGGGACAAAGAGGAGGAGGATGGGGTGAGAGAGTGCAGGAGGTATATCGGACATGTGTTGTGCTGTAGGTGTTGTTCCCTGACATCATCCCACAGATCAATGCTTCCACAAACAGCTGGCATCACACCACCAGCAGGTCAAAGGCTGCTGTTGAAACGACTTTCATTAAGGTCACAATATCCTGCTTCAGGCTGAGAGCGTGTGTTTTATGTCTTATCAAATATAAATAAACTTGCCAAGCGCAATTTGCATTTGAATATTAAACTTGATGCACAGGAACTGGTCTTGATGTAGTTTTTGGAGATATAAGATTTGAAAATCTGAAAAAACAAAAGTGGGAAGTGATTTTCCAAACATCTATTCAGAGGAAACTGAATGCATTTGCTTACTTCAAGACAAAAACAACACAAATAACATTTCCCACATACATTAGATCTGAGAGAAGTCTGAGAGCTGAGAGGAAGGGGGTTAGAAGATCAGAGATAGAATGGTGCCCGGAGTTTTCACAGCAGTTGTGAGTGTGGAACTTTTTTTCAGAATGCATTAATATTGAAATATTAAATGTAAGGCAACTACATACAAATATAAATAGATATCTAGAATCATTTGATAGATGATAGGAGGAGATATTCAATGACTGCACCAAGCAAAACCTGTTTCAAAGATAAAATGTGAACCCGATTTTTGTTTTAAGACACTTGGATAATTGTGAAACCAGTTTTTAAGTCCTGAATTAAAGCAGGGTTATGCAGATTACAGGGCAATTTTCTTTGTCGTCGCAGGGATTCATTTGCAGCGTGCGCCTCGTGTCGTACCTTTAGTTTTCTCCAGTTTATTTTCCCGACTGTCACACTTGTTCCGGACGAGCTGCTTCTCCTCCAGGCCTCTCTTGAGCGTGTTGAGTCTGAACACATAGAGTCGAGCATCCTTCCCTGGAAACAAACAAAGAGACCCTTCTGTTGCTGTTCTGCATTAAGGTTACATTTAATTTGCCGTCACTTTTTCCTTTGCTTTTAGCCTCCTCCCACGAGACACCAGACAATAGTGCTTTTCTGCACGAGGCGGATTACGAGAAGGCTCGGGCTCCCAGAAATTAAAAATCTCCCCCACACACACACACACATGTACGGTCGTGACAAATGTTTCCGCCTCTATCACATAATTGCTATCAAAACCGAGTCAATCCTGTTTGTCAATAGCCGGGTTAGCTAATCATCAGCAGAAAAATGGATTACATGCTCTTTTGGTTGAAGCAAACATGCGACAAATTGTACAGATGTGAGTTATTACACAGCAACCTCCTGTGTATGCAGTTTGTGTCTTTTCTATCCTTTTCACGTCTGCAGGTTTCATTTTATCTGTCTGTTGGTCTGCATATCTATCAGTCTGTTAAAGCCCACTGCACTCACAGTCAAGCCCTTCCCCGAGGATAAACACACACACGCACACACACACAATCTCTGAAACACACTTGACGGGGATTGGTTCTCTATAGGTCAGCTTCCTTAGATCACAGCGAGTGATCAATGTGTTCACTAGACCAGCGGAGGTGGAAAGGGTAAGTAGGTACTCGACAACACAGAGAGAGATGACAGAGATGAAATGAGAGGGAGGAGTAGGGATGATGAGAGAGAAAGATGTGCTGTAAATACAAACTGTTCGGCTGCAAAAAATAGGTAGAACGAGCGGATGACAAAGGACGGTGGCGTGGAGAGGTATTCTGTGATGTGCAGTGAGGAGGTGCCGAGCGTCTCCTCGTCTGAGTCCTACCTTTGTCGGCTCTGGTGATGAGCAGGTCCTGAGGCTCGAGAACATGCATCTGCTTCACCACCATGGTTTTGTCAAACACCTGCACTGGAGGCAGAGCTTGCGTCTCTGAAACACAATGAATACATTTAAAAAAAAATCGGATAAATACCGGTTGAAATAAATGTAAAATAAATCCTCTGAGCAGGAAAAGAAGTATCGATTTCACTCTCACCAGCGTTGGATGAAGCTGGATCTGGGCCTGAAACATGGACAACATCATTATCATCATCATGTTAGCTGTTGGCCTTGGCATTCTGCTGAGCACAGTATTGAATGGATATGGATGGGTGGCTTTATTTTAGAGGACATGGAGCGATATTGATTAGGATGACCTCACCATCCAGCAGCATGACCCCCGCTGCGTCGGTGGCGACCAGCAGAGACTGACCCCAGGAGTCTGCGCTCACAATCTCATATGGGAACGTGCTGCAGAACGACTGGGACTCCCATGGCTGCGGCGAATATAGACACAGAGACATGTGAGGGTACAATTAGAAAATATTATCCAGCTGTTCTGACAGACAGATTTCCACAATGCTTTTTGGGTGGATGCAGTATGGGTCAGAGAAGAATCCAGTCAGATCTGGCATATTTTCATCAGTTTCACTTATTTCTCAAGGAAATAGAATGGCACTCAGAACAGTGCAAACCTCTGTCAAGGCCCACCAGCCGCCTTAAATTCAATCAAACTGCACACACTCATAGATATCAGTTCCCCAAATGTGTCAGATTTTTTTTATCAAGCTCCATGAATTATTTTCTGGGACATCAGTGAAAATGCCAAAATAAAAATCCCCATTCTGCAATATTCAAGTTCCGGGATCTGCTAGAAAAACTGAATTGGTTCTTCCTGATGCATACCACATCCTTCCACTATGTTTATATAAATCTGTCAGGTAGTTTTTGGATAATCTTGCTTATAAATAAAACTTAATGACTTGTTAAGATGAAGATTTTGGGCAGGGAAATGTCTCAAAGACCCACAATGACTTTTCACCTCTTTTCTGCACAGGCCTGTGGTAACAAGACTGGTCGGGGCATCTCCTCTCACAATGGTCTTCAGCTTCAGGGCCTATAGAGAGGAAACGGCATCAGGTTTAACACAAAATATAATAATATATGAAAATGTAAAGTCTAATACAAGTAGAGCCCTATATATAATTCCCACCAGTACAGTATCAAAAGAAAAATGACCGTTGTATCACACAGTATACGTCAACATATGTAATATTACTAGACTTTAAATATCGATGTGTAAGTGCATTTTATTGTTGTAGCTGCTTGAGGTGGACTTTTAGGGTAAGAAGATAAATCTGTGGTCCTAAGATGATTCATGAAGAAGGAAGGAAGAACCCAAATTCTGGTGCACAAATTAATTGTAATTATCTTTGCTTTCTCTTCTTCATCGATCATTTTACGACTTTTAACAATTATTTAAAAAAAGACTATTTGAGTAGTTGTTTAATATTGCATGCTTCTTTCCATTTCCTGCTGCTGGCTGACACAACAGGTACAACTTTATTCTGCAGGCATTCCCCAGCTACACCTATGTGACCTCAAATGAAATAATGTCACAGTTATTAAATAATGTCTGGACAAGCCTTTTAAATCTCTGACCCTGTGCAGGATTAATGAATGTGCGCTGCATGTGAATCATGCATATAAATGCATCACTCGGAGGACAGCAGTGAAATGAGCCCGCTGAATTATGCACCTTTTATTCCATCACAAATATCTAAACTGGTCATTAATGTTTGCTGGTGTTCATGCTTATTTGGGCCGTGACGAGTGTAACGGACAGCTCACTGAGGCGGAAAAGCAAAAATAAATAAAACAAAATCATTCAAATAGAAAATATTTTGCACAAATGTTCAATCAGCAAGCATCTGATCAGATTGACAAATTCCAATCCAAACTACGCTCTAAGCCCTTTCAATTTAAAAATCTGCATAAACAGGCAATCTGGAGATAAAGAAATCAATACCAGGACACAGCACAATGGCTTCACCGTGCTGTGTGTCTTCACCATCCTTCAGAAAACACAACAAATACATGTTCTAACTTCTCAGGCGTCCACGAGAACATGAAATCCCAGCGTGTAATGTGCTTCACACGACGAGCTAACAGTCAGTTTAGCTGAGGACAAACGCCTCGTCTCTACAAAACTGGATAATCAATGACTCGACACGTCTACCTTCCTTTGTTATCCGCACAAAGTGTTGACGCCTCGGCTTTGTGTTTACGAGCAGTGAGCGACGGAAACAAGAGGAAAACAAGGTAGAAAACACAAATGGTGACACAAAGAAGAACAAGGGTGGGTAAATGAAGTTGGCAGACAAATGAAAAAAGAGACAGAATTTCTTTGGAGGCAGACTCTGATGACATATATCCTTTATCTCCAAGCAGTAAGTGGGTGGTCGAGAAAGAAAATGTTCTTATACTGTGTACTTGTTTTTTCATTCCACATCCATCAGCCTTAAATTAGTTAAAAGATTACAGGCCACAGACATCCTCCCTGCAGGTGTTGGACGCTGCCGGTGTTGGACGCTGCCTGTTTTCATATTTTGTTCCTATATAATTATATATTTGTTACGTCATCGTCCAGAACAGAAGTTTAATGGTAATTACATCAGCTTGTTAACTATAACTGCACTGTGGCAGAGAGGCTTGTTCTTATCATCGTATCAATGTCGCCAGTTAAGTCAGCTGCCGGTCAGTAGGCAGAGCTGCTAAATGACTTTATCGCAGTTACAGATCTTTGTTTCTTCAGTTTCTTCATCTTAATCTCTGCATTGTGTTTATTATGATACCTGCTCAAATCTTACATCTTCAGAACAGAACCTGCATTACCCAATACTTAATAACCATCTATCAAAATTCATTATTAGACTGTGAGGACATTTCTATATTTTATACCAAGTCTTCTGTACCTTGCGCTCTAACATAAGTTCAGTCAGACAACTCACGTTCAAATGTTTATTGCAGAAGAAGTAGAACAGGTATGATTACACAGATATGATGGGAGTGACGAGCAAATACTTGTAACCCCCCGTCGGAGCCTACAGGTGGCTGCTGGGGTGGTGGAGGGGCTGAAGCCACTGGTAGCGATACTGCAGCAGCAGTGCGAGCAAAGGGGTGAATGGGAAATTTCTCTCTGCTTAAATAGGCCGCCTAATGAGGTGGGTGTGTATAATTGATGATTGGAGAGAATGAGGTATGTCACATGATGTCTGTCACATGATTGGAGCAGCGCAGCTCGAGTTGGCTGCCTGAACTAGCTCACAGGGTTTGCTTCATTATATAGAAACACTGGAATAAAAAAAGAAGTTGCTATATTATTGCTCACTATGGGGTTTCATGTGTCTTTTTTTCATTAGGTAACAATCAGTATTTGTTTTATATTTTCCTGCCCAGGGACCGCAGACGCAAATGAGCTAACTGATTTTTATCTTCAGTAACACTATTTTTATGTGGATAGTATACTGTGGAGAATTAACACAAATATTGCTTTCTTTGTTCTGGAATTGCCATTTCAATTTACATTAATGTTCCCAAGTTAAAACTATCCATGCTTCTGATTTTAAACAGACACAGATCCCTCTCAGTTTTTAGAATCCTATTTCTGTCTGCCTCACTTTCATTTTCCCAGGTAGATTTTCTTACTCTGATCTGTGTCCAGCCGCTGTAAAGCAGATGAGAGAGGATCTGAGTTGATAAAAGACTTGAAACAATCCTCTGGGTCACCTTCAGTTATTGCTGTGTGTGCAAAGCAACAACCTTAAGGAGCAGCAGTGAGCGGTCCAGCAAAGACATTACTTTTCTTATCTTGCCCTGGGTTTTCCCTCTCAGGCTACAGTCATACTGC